TCGGATGTAGAAACCAAGTTGCAGATTCCATTAAAACCAAGGCATTATATTAAAGCAGACTGGAACAGGAGGAACCARGACAATCTGTCRGTAGGGAAAGRCCACAGTTGGTTTTTGAGGACCTGGGCCCACAACAACTCATTGAATTGGYTGGTGAGGGTAGRCCTGCAAGGAAAATTGGAAWTTTGCTCATGGTTGAAGTAGAGCTTCGTTCTTTCAGGAGTGAGACAAGTGCACTTAGAACRACACTAGGTGTATCACGGCCGCAATAGGCACAGMGACTGAAAGTCTTCTATTAAATCCCGAWCAGGGCTCAAAGTTTMAGTTTTGATAGGTAGGAGTACTAGGTAGGTTTAATAAGCCCCGCTGTAGGGGACAACCAGAGGAGCAGAGAGCTCAATGATACCGTGAATTGGAACATTGTACATCAGTCTTTGGAGGAGCAGAGAGCTTAATGGACTGTTAGGCTCTAGTTTTCGTTACGGAAGGCACCCACAGGTAGGATAAGTTGGTGCAGCAAGATTGGATAAACTGAAGCTGGAGTCGCTCCAGTGCATTGGTTACCCCGGGTTGTTTGTTGAGGGTTCCCGGCCTCAAAGTTGTATTACTTTGAATAAAAGATACCCTACTTTTCCTGAAAAAAAAAAAAAAAAAAAAAAGATATATGTCGAAGCGCCCCTGCAAGATGTGGGAAGATCGGAATGCCCTTTTGGGCAAATTCTTTGTCTTATGCTCTCACAAAAGGGCAAATTCTTGGTGTTATGCCCCTGTCAGGCCAGCGTGAAAATTTGCTAACTCGACCTCTCCTTTTGGGCCTCGGCATTTGCAATAGGCCTTTGGAAAAGTTGGCAATTACGAGGGCTTTTTGCAAAGCTSAATGGTACYCGGTAGGGGTATTGCAAGTATGGGGCGCAACTGACACGGGGGTATTATTTCATGAAACATTTTTCATRTCAGAGGGGCATTCCTCTCTATTCACATCTTCTGGGGGCATTTTGACATATATTTGAACTTTTGGGCGTATTCTGCACATTATCCCAAAACTTTATGCAAGCCGGAAAACGGACATCGCCTGGTGTGACTGGTGTCCYGTAGAATTGTTATTGCACAYCCCCCCCCTACTCAAAAGRCGTCACCGGCCAAGGTCAAAAGGGGGCACACTGTGGGACCAACAAACGCCAAAAACAACACCCCAAAAAAAAGAACCAACAATACTTTCCTTTTTGACCGGCGAAGGTTGAAAAGGCTAATTCTTTTAAGGCCAAGTTGCCCAACCAATTCAATTACGTGTAAAATCAARACGGCCTTTCAGGACTTTTTTTATTGTCAATATAGTATTACGGGGAACCCTGTAGCAGCCACATCTGYGCTCAAGCCTCCAACGAGGGAATATGCGGGAGCTGCACCCACCAGAAGGTGCGATACCTGCTACAGCASGTGGGCGATACCAGCCAGGGGTCAGCTTGTAGCATCAGTACCGATCTTYTTCGATGGGCCAGTCGCTGTGCCTCCGCTTCGGTCCGSTCCCCCTATGAACATCAGCAGTTTGGTAAATGCCACTCGGGGGGACCAACGGCCTATCTCTAGGTGGCGGGCGCCGAGCTTGCCCAGGAAGGTACATGAGGCCAATGAAAATTGAACGCAAGACCTCCTGAATGTCACTTTCGTGCCTTACCAACCGAGYTAGGCCTCTGGATCCAACAAAAGTCGGACCTTGGGCAAGGGTAAATGAAACAAAGACAACCCAAAGCTRCTACTTTTGCAATCCAGAAACGAACCAGATTGTGAAAGCAGCTGACAGACTGAAGGACTRTTCTGGAAAGCCCTCGGAAGGGGCCCTGTGATGCCCTAACGTCACGCCCAGCGCGACTTCCTGTTTCAGAGTGAGGGCGGGTCTGAAAGTGCGTAAAAGGGGTGTGCCAAGGATTTTAGGAAAATGTGGTGGAGTCCCATATCGGAACTGAGATCTCTAGTGTCAAGTTTCAAGGATAAAAGTGCAAGTGGGTTGGCGGGGGACTGGGTTTCTAGTTTGCGTCTCGCCGAGTCGGACGGCTAGATCCGTCGGCCTYGCCCCCGGGGTCGGTCTCGTATTCTTTGTACAGAGGGAACACAATGGGTGTCTCTCCGTTCCAACACCTGTCGTCTGCGTGTTCCACAAACTTAAGAATCTGACGTGGACGGCCTCAGTCGGAGGCKATGTTCTCGGCGTTCTACCTCAGAACGAGCTCGCCGAACAAATCTCCCAAGCCGGTAGGCGTTATACTGCCGACACTTAGAGCATGGTCTTCWAGGTCAGTAAGGAGCTATCACGTTCCAGGGGACGACTGTTAGATTGTGGTAGGGAAGGAGCAGATAGAACGAAGGAAAGTTGGTTTCGATGGCAACGAATCMTGATTCCACGTAGGCCTGGAGGTTACACGTGTCGAGGTAATCCGGGATTCGAGAATTTTGTCCTATGGCCTGATGAAAGTCTCATGCACACAGCCGATCGTTATCTGTTTGGCATTGAAATATAGGAAGCCTCAATCTCGATCGACGAGAGAGGTGCTCGTTTTTCCAATACCTCTGGTACTTGCAGTCCCTCAGACAGTCACAATCCGTGATCCAAAATGGAATGTTGATGTCCATATCTTGCGAGGGAATTTCAATTCATACATCCGTGCGCTCGCGGCGCAGCCTGGTTGGGGACGGATCATGCAGACACGCGTATACATGATGACCGCTTTGTTTTGGTAATTCATATACGTGCGTGCACTGTTTCCAACAAGGTCTAAGACRACTTGTTATGCATGCAYCTATTCTASGCCTGGTCTACCCAGGAAGACGACATACGTAGACTTTAGACAACCGATCAAGGCAACATACGCAAACATACGGGTGCATAAAAGGAAAAAAGAAGGAGCGATTTCCCATACATTAACAAGACGCCTGAACCATATATGCAATAACCCCTTGACTCGGCAATCGACAACATCCATGCTTTCGAGGCAACCAAATAATCAATCGACTTTGCAACCGCTGTACATTTCTGGTTTATCAAAACGGAAAGAGGCGGGGGAGAGAGAGACAATTCACACATCAATCGAAGAAAARAAAATCCAAAGTTGCCGCAAACGAAGATGGTCAATACCAAAATGAAGATTATAYAGAGGATGCGAAGATAAAACACCTCTCGAGCACATCGCGCTCTCTCCCGCTCTCTCAACGTTTATTCGATGCSGGYAGTACGTCACCTCGCACCTACCAACAACCACAGAGTTGTCACCCCGCTTGATCCGAGCGTGCAGTCGGGTTTGTCCACATGCCACAGTCCTTCGCGGCCATGCGTCAACCCCGACACACTCAGCATCAACTTGTCACATCGCCCAACTCATACTCACCGTCCTGTTTTCGCTTGTTAGCCGATCCTCTCGACCGTGCTAACCTTAAAATRTAGATTAGAGAGCGAATTAGTCGCGCTTGCAGACTTTATAGCATTCAGTATTYGCAYGAGACAATCCCGGATTACACTAAAGCAGAAGGAAGAGGGAAGAAGGAAGTGCCTACAGCTGCATGACTGAGCCGCAACGTGGGGGACATAGCCACTCTCCACGCATCGATCCACTCATGCATCTCTTCGGTCAATGACACAGACAGAAAAGGGGCGCATGTTTTAGCGCGGAARGAACTCGGGAAGGAGAAGATTACAATTACACCCGCATTCGCCAAGAAGGAGCAAGAAGAGATTATAGTTGCAATTAGGAATAAGGCGCGGTGGAAAGAGAGCGTAGGACAGGGCGCATCAAAGCGCGCGCCAGTAAGGAGCATGGTGCAGTTGCAGCAGCAAAAATCCGTGACAAAATTACGATACGCCCCCCCCCTCCCAATTTGTAGTCTAATTAAAGTCCTAATTTCTATTACTCCCGTATTTTTCCATATTTCAAAATTCAAAAAGTTTTTCCCACACGATAATCGCGTCAAAGTTCCCTTCAGCAGAACAAGAGAGAAGTTGTGACAACAGTTATTTACACGCTCGCTAAGGCGCATTCTAACTACCAACCGCCAGGGGACCAAGTTTTCTCAAAACGATTGGGGTACTTATGCAATTGAGTCGGCCCCTCCCATTCAACCCCCRAAATACAGTGACGTAAAAAGTCGCGCGTTACAGAAAATAGTTCGTCACATATGTGAGTCAATAATGTGACGCCTGGGGGGTTCCAATCTTATGCTGACTCCTGCTTGTATACTCCTTATCCCTGCACCCGAAAGAGAAGAAAAAAGAGATGGAGAGGGGACAGAAAGGAAAGAGGAAGAAGACGACCGAAATGAGGTTCGCCATTGGTGTCCGACCCTTGTCGCGTTCTTGAGTGCGCCCTTATTGTTGCCCTCGTTATTGTCATTGTTCCTTTGGCTGCGTTGACACTCTCGGTACAAGGGGCGAAGGTGGAAGATGAGATTGCGGAAGTGGCGGGAGAAAAMGGGCCAGCGATCTCACCCTGGTGGGGATAGTTGCGTATCGCACTAATCGATGGACACGAGGGAAAGGCCGCAGGGGAAGCGCCGAAGCCACCAATTGACCCTTCGACGAGCGAACAGAGGATTAGCGGGGCGTGGGCCAGTTATGAGGGTAAGCGAGAGGCTGACCGATCCAACGCACGAGAGACAGGGCCGGAGGGTGCGAGGGTGAACGAGGCACGAGAAACAGGGGACTTGGGGTTCTCCGCCGCCAGGATGGCAATCCTGCATGTAAATAGGAGGATAGGTGAGGTGGCAATCTTGTCCTTCCAGCGGTACTCCATGCTTAGCGATGAATTGGCGGCCTCGAGGTTGGAGGTGGGGCAGTTGTCCACCCAATTGGCGGAAGAGAGGACAGAGAACCAAGCGTGGAGGTCCCGCATAAAGGCCAAAGAGGCGGAATGGGAAAAGAGGCTCCAAGATATGACGGCGATGGTAGAGAGGCTCTCGGCCACTAAGGTGGTCGACTAGACGGAGCAGAGCCGGTATGGTATCCAGGGGAAGTAGGTACAGGGGCTCTTTGGCCAGGAAGGAACGACAGAGACGCCACAACGAGAGGGAATGGGGAAGGTGTTCCTGGATCCGACAGAGGCGACAATAAGGCGGGAGGCCGAGGAGGGGAGGTTCAGCTTCAGGACTCCCACGGAGTTGGCCTCGCAGCAGCCCACCCCTATGACGATTGAGACTCCTAGGGACGAGCCGGCGCAGAAACCCCAACCTCCAGTGGTGAAAGGGAGCCCCATAGAGGAGTCCCCTATGATCCTTTTGGAGGTACAGGAGGGTGCCCTCACGGGAGCAGCGGCATCCGCTGAGTCGGAGGCAATGGGGGGAGAGGCATCTCGACTGGATGAGCTAGCGGCAGCCATGGAGCTGGACATGCCGTCGGGAGGGCCTCAGAGACAGGGGACCCCGGTGCGTGCCGGAGATAGAGGAGTTGAGGACGCGGTTAGGCGCTTGGGCCACTGGGACTGACTCAGGAGAGCACATCTCAGTGCAGCAGTCGGAGGTTATGAGCGGATCAGCGACTGTCATGATCCCCCAGCCTTCTGACCTACGTGGGGGCAAGGAGATGACTGCGATGGGAGGGATCCGCGAAGGTAGGCCGCTGAGATTGGACACTCCCGCGTACCAACCTGAGGGAGATGAGATGCTAGCAGGAACGAGTACTCAGATAATGGAGAGGGGACCAGCGAAGTCATGGAGTATGCCGCAGAGCCACGAGATGAGCAGGGAGGCCAGTAAGGCACTGCCGTTGCCAGGGTCCCAGAAAAAGAAAAGGAGATGTCGGGGGAGGTCAGACGATCAGTGCTTCTTCTGCAAGGACGGCGTACATAGAGCTCTTGAGTGCCCAAAGTTCCTTAAAGACAAGGCGGCGGGAAGAGTGACGGAAAGAGGTGGAAGGATGTACGACAGACAAGGGCGAGTGGTAGAACGGGCTCCAGATGGGGGTAGGGCACAGTTGTATAGGCAGAACCAGGAGGTCATGAGCGAGTAGGGGTTGGGCTGTCTATATGACAGTAGGATCAGAGTTCCTCTGTACACAGAGGTCGGTTTAGGGATGTACATACTCTGAGTCAGTTGAGTGGGTTCTAGGGGTGTGCAAGTTCAAGTTCGCCGCGAGAGTCCTGTCTAGTTGCATATACATAGATGGCAGGGCACGTTTGGATTTTGGGTTTTGTGTGTGGTACAAGTTCGGCAGATGAGATTCAGTTGTAAGACACCTGTGACTATGTGATTGAACATTAGTCATGGAGGCCCGGAAACCTTGTTTACATTTTTTAATCGGACCCTGAAAGCCCTAATCCCTGGCGTGTGAGTCTACCCTGTAGAGTGGAACAGTAAACCCAGTATTTGAGTTGATGATTGGGGCAGGCATCGTAGTCCTGGGTACATCCTGCGAGTTGTGTGTGTGAGAACTTGACCTGAGTGATGTATTAAGGCTTAAGGGAGATATTTTGCTCCTGAATATATTTTTGACTCCAGACCCTGCGGGGCTTACTCTTGTGACGATCACCATCACTCTCACATGTGTGGCTTTATCCTCATGTATGATGATTTTGTGTGAGAGATGTATGAGGAACATCACATGAATTGCGTGGATCTTGCGAGAATAAATGGATGTGAACTGTCTACTCTTCAGTATACTCGTGCAGTCTGCCCACGGGCAGGATAGGGCCGAGTATCAGGAGAGGGAGTGCAGTCTGTTATTGTGAAAGCGTGAAAATCCTAAGGGATCTTGCGAGTCTTTGAGACTCGAGTACTTACCATGCCGGATGTTTTATGGTTGAGTTGTTCTATGATCGAGACCCCTTCAGATTAAGGAAGGCGATAGTGTTATCTGTCGGGAGACTCATCCCCAAAAAAAGGGGGGGGGGGTTAAAAAGGCTCGTGTGTATTTGAGTTGATAAAGTCTGACGAAAAGGGACCACGTCTACTTGAGATGTTTGAGAAAGTCGCAAAGAGTGTAGGGCGAGAGACGTCTCATGATGGGTGGCTGCTCGCTCTGACCAAGTCAGGGGTCATAGCCTTGTGGACCTAGCGGATTTTGTTTGTGATTGTGTGAAGGATGTCATGCCTTTCGTGGAGAGCTGGTGAATGCCTTCAAACCCCTGCGTGATCTCGCAGTGGGCCCGTGGTTGGTTTTGCGACGCTCTGTCTAACCACTTGTGCTAGTTCTGGGACATAGTAGGGGAATACCAAGCTAAGCGGTAAAGATTAGCACCTCTAGGGCGTAACCCTAGTGGATGGCTGCTAGTGGGCACAACCTGGTTGCAGGACCGCAGAGTAAGAGTTTAAGGGAAGTTGCTCGCCCCAGGGAAATTACTCCGTGGGGTAGTAAAGGTTGAGAATTTTTGGGAAATCCTGATTAATGCTTATCAGGAGAAAACCTATCGTTGTGTAACCAACGAGGGTACTGCCGCTAAAGTAACAATGCGGTGGGCCATAACCCTTGTCCGATCAACCAGGCTATGGTGGGCCGAGATGGAGACTTAGCCTTTCTGTACTGGACTGCAGAAAGAGCTGAGTGGGTATTAAGTATACAAATATACGTATGTCTATTTGATTGCAAGAGATTCTCTGAGAGGGAAGGCGAGAGTGCCTTCAAAGGTCTCGATTAAGGCCCGCGTCCCTAGTTTTGGCCAGGACTAGGGATACCCGACGAGAAGCCGAAGGTTGTCTAGGACCGGGGAAAGGATGATTGGGAAGGTCTTTGGAACTTATGATGTCAGCGTCCTAATGTCGGGGCGGTGAGAGCGCGGATTAGAAACCTGACAGCATATAGTTGTGGAGGCATGGTTTGATGGAGGCCTCTACCCTGTGTTTGTCAGCTAATCGGATTGGTTCCTTTTTCGTCAGCGTCTTGAGTAATCTGATAGCTTTTCGATTTTGCGAAGCGACGGGGACGTCGCTTAATGTGGTCCGGTAAGCTGTCGGCGCGAATACCCTTACAAGGGTATCCGCCCTGGTTTTTGCAAGTGACAGAAAACAAGTTTGACCTGGAATTGTTGAGAAGGTCGCGCGACTTGCGGCAGTGTGGTGACTATAGGTTGGCTATGAGGTCTAGAAGTAGAGAGTGCGTGGGCGCGCAGGGTTTAAGGCGCGCGGGATTTTTTTTCCTTGTCGTTGATTATAAAGCCGGTGCGGACACCGGCCTGTTTAACTTTGCTTTATTTTTATTTTTGGTTAAGTAGGAATTAAGGATCTTCTTTGCGACCGAGGTAAGCGCGCGTGCGAGGACGACGGCATCGACAACGATAGCGCGACTTCGTGCGGTGAGCGCGGGGGGACGTAGGATGGTGTGCGGGGCAATTATGGGACAGTATAAGCAAGCCGGCACGGGCACTGGGAGCCGCGCAGCCGGCTTGATGGCCCAAAGCGCCGCGCCGCACTGCCTTGTATTGTACTCTGCGGGCACTAGTTTCAAGCTTGGGCTTAGCCCTATTGGTTATGGTATCGGGTTGCGGCTACGAAGGTTCAGGGGTCGAGGCCAGCGGGTGTCAGCGCAGCAGCTACATTGGAACGGTGTGGAGAAGATCGAGGGGTTGAGGGCCCGATAGGGCTATCCCCCTCTGTTTTTGTCTACTGGCGTGACGGAGGGAGGGGGCCGGTCCAAAGGGGCTCCCGTGAACTTCCCCGTTTTATTTCTATTACTCTTACCCCTTTTTTCTACTGTTTATTTTTGTTCCACTCGTGTCCCGTTTGAGATGCGATATCGGGCCGGCGGCAGGGTCACGTGGGACGTGTTGTGTTCGCTGGATTGCCGTTGAGCGGTCACAAGTTGTCCCGTGACTGCGCAGTATTCGGCAGCCGGGGGTATTACGGTTGGAGCGGCTATAGCACTGTTGCGCAGCCTAACCGTAGGGGCCCAGGCATAGGGGCGGACCCGGTACAGATCCGGGCCGAGTACCTGCGCGGAGAGGAGAAGCAGATAGGGGTAGGGAAGGGCTGAGGCCGCGTGGCCTTTGGGGGAGCCGCGGGACAGTACCCTGTGGAGTCCTCCGGGACATCTGTTAAAAGTAGGGGCGCTACAGAGAAGATTAGCACGGTCCTGCGAAGGGGCGGCCCGTATAAAGGGAGGTCGGTCCGACGACCGAATGCCTTTGTTCAGCATTCGATAGCCTGTCGGGCTGTGGCGTCGGGACGTCAACAGTTGTCGGAGTAACTAAGAGCGAGGTAGAGGCGGACGGCTGAATCCGGCGGGTTACTGAGCTAGGTTCAGGCGGAGCTAGCGGGCAGGGCGCAGCGAGACGACAGCGGGGGCAGCGAGATAGCACGGCGACAGGCATAGGGAAGACCCCGGCGCGCACAGGGAAAGCCGGGCTATGAGAACGGAGGGGGAGGAGATAGGTAGCGGACTTGAACGAGCCGGGCTGCACAACAGCAGGGGGGGGGGCGAATGCATCGGGATGAGGTTTTGCGCTAGGTGCATGCGCAGGCAAGGAGGCGGGAGATGGCAGGGGAGTTGGAGGATGGGTATGGCCGCGCGTGGAAAAGTGAAAGCCTCGCTCGATTCTTGACGGGATCGAGCCAGAGAAGATCCATTTCGGAGGTTTTGACATAGGGCGACACTGATCAGGAGGTTAGTTTGGTTACTAGGTTAGTGGGAGGCTGGTTAGAACGAAAACGTAGTGCGCGGAGCGCTCGGGAAGGTAGATATGGTGGGGGGGAAGATCCGATATCTCCCTCGATTCTTTAAAGGATCGGGCAAGGTAGGACCCTAAGTTGAGGTTTTGGGACGTTGCGATACAAATCGCGGTGTTAGTTTGGATGATAGATGAGTAGGTCGGAGGTTAGTAAGAGAAAGCGTGCGCCGAGCCATGGCCGACGTGGAAGAGAGAGGAGGCGGGAAACGCATAACTTGGGCATTTCCGAAAGGATTTCGGTGGGGGAAGGGCCGAAGGCATGGTTTAAGGGCAAGGCGAATTCGGTGATGATGTCAGTTTTGGGGGAGGGTTAGTGGATAGGAAGTCAGATAGGGAACGGGGTGCGTGGCTATGGCTGAAGAGGAGGGGGCCGAGGGGGAGAAGGATCGAGTTCCTACCCGATTCGTGACGAAATCGGGTGGAACAAGTGTCAAAATGGGGGTTTCGGGGTGGCGCAAGTATGGTGGCAATGTTAGATTTAGAGCTTAGTGGTTAGTCCTTGGGGTTGTCAGTAGGGAAGCTGCGCAAAAGGGGGGGCCTTAAAACAGTGACGAATCCGCCCGCGTTTCAGCGAGAGATTTATTCCCACTTTGTTTTGCTTTTTTCTTTTTCGTCATTTTCCTTTTCTTGTTTCTTTTCGTAGTTGTCCGTATGGGGTATGGTCCTCTGCAGTAAGCGACATAGAGAGAGGGAGAGAGAGAGAGAGAGAGGTTACCCACCTGGTCGGATTGTGCTTGTAGGAGGACGGGCGCTGCAGCAGGGCAGCACCGGTGGGGGGGGGGGGTGTTCTCATGATCCAGCGGTAGATCCGGTTCGGTTCTGCTTATAGCAAAGGGGGCCGGGCAACTACAAATTGGAGGGGTTACCCATTGGCTAGCACATTAATCGCCCACCAAGCAAAAAAAGCCAGTGTTCGCCCGTCAACTGGTCGGAGCGAGCGGGGACGGGAAGTTCCCGGCCAGAGTGAAGGGGTGGCTAGCTCGGTGAGGTCCGCCGGGGTGGTTGGTTGCAGTTTGTACCCGGCGGCTAATGCTATAACTGCCAAAGCCCATGCGTTTGCTGTGCTGCTGTGTCCCCTGCTATTCCATACCGCAGGCCTTGCCGGTTTGTCCCAGGTGCTACATTGTTGCGGCTAGTTGTGGTCTGCCACGACCTGTGCGGCGGGCAGTAGTTGGTGTCGGGCGTGGACTGTGGTTGGCCAACGGTGTGAGAGCTGGCATTGATTGCTGAGGTGTTGTTGCCACTATTGTTGGCTGCGGTGCATTGTTGCATGTCGCAGCCGGCCGGTTAATGACCACTGCAACCTGCGGCATGGCGAGGATTTGGTCAAAAAGAGAAGGCACTGTGATTTAGAGGACGTAACTAGCTTGTCGAAGGGAGGGAGATAGTGCTGTGATAGGGAAGAGAGTCAGAAGGGTAACATTTCGGGAGTTTGACTTCGGAGGTTTGATCAAGCTGCTGTGAGTTAGCCGCCATTGCGAGGCCCTCAGGCGCGTCCAAATAACAAGGCCCTCTCCTGCGAGTCTGAGTGCACCTCCCTTGGATCTGAGAGTCTAAATTCCTTCTCTTTCTGCCCTCCTTAAACTAAGTCTAGTCCTATTCTGGGAGGAAGGCGGCAGGCGAGATTGCAACCTGTAGGTCCGCGTCAAGACTCTGTGGGGAGTCAACCCACCGATTGCGGGAGCTCTGCCGGAGCCTAGGCGAAGCTCTGGA